TTTCCTACTCCGAAAGATACTGCGGAATGCATAAACTACTGTGTGGTTATAATTATGGGCTGGATGAGCGTGAACAGGCAAAGTTACTATAGCATGGGCAGGAGCATGCATAAGTTTGCATTGTGCACGCAATCCAGTTTGGAAATTCTCCTAGACTCAGTGTTAATCACAGAATGGGTGTGGTCAGGAATGTTTTCTATCACCATAGGAAGGTACATCAGTTGTGATGCTGTTTGAGGAGACTAGTCCTTGTTACAGTTATTCATTTTCTAGGGATATCTATACTCTCTTATTATCAAACACTCCATATAGATGCGCCTTTAAATATAAGTTGGGTGGGTACAAAATGTACTCTCTGAGTACCGATAGATTCTGAGACTGCACAGGTTGCCACTGTTTTTCCTTCAGTTTAAAGTCTTGGAGTTGGTTCTAAACCCTAAATGGTTTGGATCTAAGCTCTTTGAAGGGCTCTCTGCGTTTTGATTCAGCTCAGAAGGCCACTACTGAGACAGCCCCAACTGAAAGAGTCTTCTCACTAATAAGGGCATTTGTGGAACCAAGTTCTAATTGACATCTATTGGATCCCATCATTGCAGGCCATCAAGTGGTCCTGAATGCCTTGGCTTACAACTGAATTACACAAGTCAAGCTATGCTGTGCATGGTGTTTGTTTCTAGTGGCTAATTTTGATTTCACTGCTTTTTTACCATTCGTCTTATTAATATTCTGTTTATTACAAAGTGTCTATAATTTTTTAAAAATACGCATCTTTTAAGTAAATAAAAATAATGAAATGGGTCATTGTTCTGATTTAATGATGTCATACAAACTTTCAGAAAGGACTGCTTGAACTGTACCTTCCAGGACATGTTATTCCATAAATGAGCCTGACAGCTGACTGGAAATATCTCATTTCCGTCTGATGATTGGAAGATATCTCTTTTGCTGAAATAATCTGTTATGGGCTAAAAGCCATCATCATTATGGCAATTGGTACTTATGCTTTGGTAATTATGCCTTTTAATAGCATAGATATTAAACATAGATTTGTTTCTTTGGGGTAGAGATGTACTTATAAAAATTATATTGCAGAGTAAAAATGAATTATAATTATACATACCTATTATCAATGAGTACAAACTGCAGAATTGTTGTAGTGGATCAAGCCAAAGACCCACCCAATCCAACATTTTGTTCTCACACAGCCAACTGGGTGCTAATGAAAATGCACAAAGAGGACCAGATGTTCTGATTACAAGCTGCCCGGAGTCTGATTTTCAAGATGAGTAGCCATACAAATTTCTTAAATAAATAAATTAAATAAATAATTGAGACAGAATCATTCTTTGATGAGCCCTAGCAAATGGAATTTACAGGCTTGCTACTGTAGTACATAGAAATCATGACTTAATAGTCACCGATAGCCTTATATTTCATGACTTTCTCTAATGATGACTTCCTGCAATGGGCTAATACCTCCACTACATTTTGTGGTAGTGAATGCACTAGTTTGACCTTTGCTTAAACTCTCATCAATCAGCTTAACTGAACAACTCCTTCAAAGAATCTAAAACTGAAGACAATTAACATTGTTTCCTTCAAATGTCTCTATATTTGCCAGGATTATTTCTTTTTTTATTTAGAAAATTTATACAGCTGCCCACTTTAAGCAAATAACTCAGCTTAAGATCTGCCAGTTAGAAATCCTAGACAGAAATAAGCAAGGCTTCAAAAGCTCGATCTGCTGTGTTGCCAATCTATATGTGAGGAACCTTGGTCAAATATAAACAACAAGTAGATAATAAAACAATGTGTGTTACCTTTCAAGATTTGGCTCTCCTATTCAAGACATTAAGGAAATTATTGTAACTATTCCCTTTCAGTGAAAAGAATTCCATCAACATTAAACAAGGAAAACTACTGGCAATGATTAATAAGTATAGATATGCTGCACAGTTACATTATCAGTATTTGTCAGAGTCTACACATTCAGTTCCCAATTCTAGTTAATCCTCCGGAGCCTATTTGTTTCCAGTAAAGATTTCTTTATTGAGAAGCAGCATATAGCATTCCATAGATTGCTGAGACTAACCCTCCCCAGCCAGGGCTCTCCTTTTAACCCCCCCTACTCTATTTTCCCGCTTGATTCCTTCGCGGCTCTTCTTTGGTCTCATGGTTGTTCAGCCTTGCTGGCACCTCGAGGCGAGATAACACCACACCTGGCCTTTGTTGTTTATTCTCCATCGCCCCTCTTTCCCTGTATGGCAGGAACAAGCAAGCATCTACACAAGTTATGATTCCTGCCTAAACTAACATTTGCACTTACTAGCTAATTAGTACATGCCTGTCAACATTACAAATTTTCTAATAACTTTCTAATAGTCTTTTGATAGTTGCTTGTGTAGATCCTGACAGTATTTCTTCTTTCCTATTTTGCATAGGTTAAAGTCTCTATGGCAGTGATGGCAAACCTATGACACATGTGTCAAAGGTGACATGCCACAATGTTTTGGGTGACACACCTGTGTTCAGTAACACCCAACAACTATTCTCCATTTGAGTTACCAAAGAAACTGAGTTTGTTTTACCCGTATTTCATTTTTGCAATTATGTGACATTTCTTTATATAATACATAGCACCACACCTGATTGGACTGTATTTTTTTAAATACATGAATATGTAAAGAATTGTTTCTCTTTTGTTCAGGAAGGGAGGTGACATACCAGCAAAGGCAAGTTAGGCATTTTCTGACTTTTTGACACGCCAAGCCCAAAAGGTTCGCCATCACTGGCCTATGGGAAAGGGCCCTATCTTGTATTACTGCTGTGCTATGGAATGGTCCAGCCACACCCTTTCTGCTTTTTGGAAAGGAGTTCCTCTTTAGCCAGGGCTTTTTAGTTTGAATTAATAATTGACTTTCATTGTTTTATGAGACTATGACTTTTGTTGTTCTTAGCTTTATTTATTCTGGAAACCATCTGTTTTTACTGTTAATCAGAAAAGCAGTCTACAAATCAAATAAAATGTATTAGAATCTGATGAATCAAAAAACTCTCTATTAGTGTAACAATAGCATTGGATTCAACCCAAAAATCATCAAGCAAGCCTAGCCCTGCTCTTTGCTTACTTCCCAAATGTTTAAAGTTACTTGTTTGGACAGGTTCATGGTTGAAGGGCTTTGAGCAAACTGCCTTCTGGGTTGAAGATGCACTTCAGTATTCCAAAAGGTATTGAGGACTGCCATGTCTTTTTTCACAGGGCCTTGAGTGATTGGACTGACATCACCCTGGATTGTTAATGGGGAAATATAATAGAGACCTGTAGGTCAAATTTAAGAGAGACAGTTTGGTTTAGTGGTTAAAGCTACTGGACTAGCAGCTATGAGAGTGTGAATCCTAGTCCTGCTTTTGGCCCAAAGGCAACTTTGGGCCAGGAACACACTCTTTTAGCCTTAGGAAGACAGCAGTGGCAAACTGATAGGGCAGTAAGGCAGTTGCTCCTGTTGTGCAGTAAGCAGAGGAAAACAAACCGTTTCTGGCAGCTGCACAGTAAAGGAAAAAACACCTCTGTAAGGGTTCACTAAAAGTTCAGCAGTCTGCACCACCCCTGGGCGGAGAGCTAATATTATAATTAGCTTTAGGCACAAATGCACAAGGTAATTATGTGGATGTAGCTTGTATTTTTAGCTTTACCAACAAGTGTGTACTAAGGCAGTGTGCAAAAGAGTTAACAATGTGCGCGAGCAAGAATCAGGCAGGAAATGGAGTAAAGCAACTGAAAATGGTAAGGATGGCACAGGCAGGTGTCTCTTTAGTATCCATAAAAAGCACAGGTATAAAGAGTAACGCAAGCGTACCTATGGCCTGAGAATGCCACACTCTGCATAGCTTATTGCTTTGTGGCTGAAGGATGACAGTTTATGACTTTGTTTTTCACTTTGTATCTTGTTGCAAGAATATATTAAACAATCTGAGAGCTTTTGTACCTGCTCTGGAAATTATTCCTGGCCATCTTACTCTGCGCAGAATAACTACTTTATTATTTCCACCTTGGTGTGTTTATTGGGCAAAATTGCATGGCAGGCTAGAACCCCCCCAGTTCCTGGGACAACAAAACCAGTTCTGAAAATACTGCCAAGAGGATTGCCTGGACTTGTTCCTGTAGTTATCAAAAGCCAGGTCAACTCGATGAACCATAACAACAACAGATGAAGTTTCCTCCATGTAGAGGGCCTACAGTGAGTATAAACACTGGCTGGACATTGCAGTTAGAGCAGCTGCTCTTTGATAGTTTATTTCCCTATGGGCAAGGTATCCATGAACACATCCAATTAATTTGTGGAGGCATTCTTTGTAATTTGCTGTTCTGTACCACATGCCCTTAATAAGATTCTCCACATGGCAGCACAGCGTACTCACATTTCCAGTCACAACAGACTCATGAAAAGGACAACATAGCTGGTACTCAGCAAACCAAGAGATAACAAGGAAAGCAAAGTATTGTAACATTTGCTGTCTAAAGCACAGATGCAGAGAGCAGTAAAACTGTTGGCAACCTTGGCAAAAGGGTAATATTCTGTGACCAGTAGAACCCTGGTTCTGACAGCCTCTGCTTCTGTGGCACTGTTTTTTGTCACAAACGGAATGTGAAATGGAAAGCTCCTTAATGAAGAAAAGCAGGATTCCTCTAAGCAACTTGCTTTTAATGCCGAAAAAACCCAAATAACAATGCCCCTCTTTGTCAAGAGCCTGTAGATGAGATTGCTTTCAACCTCTCAGGCTTCACACAGTGAGTCAACAAGGAAGAGGTGGTTGAGAAATTGGGAAAGGTTTTTAAAAATATATATATATTTTACATAATTCTCTGACCAATACCACAAAACAAAAAAACAAAAAAAAAAGCTGAAAGGAAGAAAGAAAAGATTGGTTGTGTGTGTTGCAATAGGATCAAGGGGGAGTGACTGATGAAGAAAAAGCCTAGAGTAGGCCATGCTTGGGAGCAGTCAGAAGAGGCAAAGTCAGAGTGGGTTGGAGAAAAACCAGGGGAGCCTTGTTGTGAAAGGGCAAAAGCTCCCTGCCCAGCTCAGGGATGGCTTTCCGGTTTCTGGGTTACGTTGTTCTAGTCCTGTTATGGGTATGCGTTACTGCTGCGGCTGGTAAGTCAAAAATTTAAGGGAATGTACCATTTGATAATAACTGTATAGAAAAACAACATTTAAATAGAGAAAAAATATTTAAACATAGCTCTTTGGGTTTTTTTTAAAGACTGGAACTCTAAGCATCCGGATGTGAATATACATACCAGTATTAGAGCTCTAGATAAATTCTTTTCTCAAGTTTTCATTGTGGAATTAATGGAATAATTTGAATCTGCTATGGTTTTAGCTATGTTTGGAATCAAATGGTGTCTTGTAATCTTTACTCAGCAATCACATATTAAGTTTGCATTATCTTGTTAGAGTTGCCAGCCCTACAAACATAGCAAAAAGTACAGGTATTTAGACATGAATGTTTAAATTATTTTTATCACTTTATGCACTTCATTAATCCAAAACAATCTTTTTTTGGAAGTAATCTTCATTGCCTGTAGAGGAACTAACAATACAGTCAGAAATAATAACGCAAATCTGTTCATTACTACTCAGAAGTAAATCCCACTGGTTCTAATGGATCTTATTAAGTATGCATAAAATTGCAACCTAGTTGTACTGAATTATAATTAGATTCCAAAGATATGCTGGTGAGACTGATTTTTACTAAACCTTAGAGCTGTATAGTCTTAAATTTAGCAAAAGCTGCAAAGGCAAACACTGCTATTTAAAAAGGGGAGGAGGGTTCCCATGTAATTTTAAAGAATTAATAAAATATTTAGCCAAATTGTTAATTGCATGCCTATGTATACTTATCTGGGAATAAGTCTCACTAAAATATGTGTGATTAATCTTGATTTGATGCATATAGGTTTTTATTGCTGAAGACAGTAGAATTCTAAATCCACAACAGAGTTGTTCTTATTGATTTTTGGAAAATTAAGTTGAAATCAATATGAATGTATTACATTATAAGGACAGATTCTATTTTATTTGTGTTAGATATTTCCTTATTAGTGATTTATTAAGTCTTCTATTATATTAACACTATGCTGAGATAGCAATAATGAGGACAGGTTTTATATTACTAACCTCACTGATGATTGGGTGATATTGGAAGACCATCTAAATCTCTAGCGGGAAAATAACTATAGCATCACATATCAATTTTATTTTGTATAATACAGCTGCAATTCTGTATTTATCCTAGTAAACATTCATAGGACATTGCGCTGAATTTTTTTCTATTTTTGTGATTTGTTTATACAGATGCAGTTACATAAGAATAAAAAGTATAACAGCTGTATTATTTTCTTCCTCTGGCTGCCCAATATCAAATGTTTATTATATGACAAACAGAAAATTACTAGGAAAGTGACAATAAGTACTGATTTTTAAAAAATGACATTGCTGGGTTTTTTAAAGGTATGTTCTTCCTACTAGGTAGTAAATAGTTATTTTAAGAATTGCTGCTTTTCATATCCTTTTGAAATATTTACTCTCAAGTTTACATGTTTGTTTAAATATATCCAATATATTTCTAAATTGCCTCAGTTCTTGTAATACAGTAATAAGGAAAATATTGATCCCAAGAATATATTATGTGCTGCTTCTGGAAATGGGCACCTCTAATTATTCCAAAGTGAATGTGTGAATGGCCACTCTTTTGGGTGTTTGTTGAGGAAGTAATCAATAATAATCATAGCCTCAGCTATAATACTAGAGCTCCTTCTGGGTTTGGGAGGTGCTAAGTAGGATCTCTTCCCATGCTTATCTAATTTAGTCTCATCACACCTGTCTCCAAACCTTTCTACCAGGAGGGGGGCTCAAAGGGGCATTTCATCCCAGATCCAGTAAGTCTTAAGACATTGTTAATATGAAGAGACAACAGACCATTATTCTCCAACATTTCGGAACCAAAGATTGGATTCAGCTGTACTACTTGCATTAAATCAATAACTGTATAGATTAATACAAATACATAAACACAAGAATGATCTGAAACAACAATAATTATTGACCTATGAATTACCCTCCTTTCCGGTCTTGATAGGCTTGCTTGGAGAATGCAGTCTCTCCCCCTGTAACCCAACAACCAGACAGGTTCTTTTTAAAATCCAGTATATATTCTAATGCACACAATTCAACAACCTTGGTTGCCTTACAAAAATCTCATGGCACAATTTACTCTTCCTTCTTCTTGGCTGTGTTTGATTCTTCTTGCACATTCCCCTTGCTGGCCCAGATCCAAATACCATTTGGCTGCTCATTGCTTCTTTTGGTCACAGTCCATTCCCCAGCTATCCCACATTGCAGTCCTTGCTGTCTTGGCCTCAGTCCTTTTTCCAGTTGACATGTTGGGTTGATATCCTTCTTGGGTGGAAATTGCCTGTTGGTCTATCATCCTTGAACTCCAAGCTGCAGGCTGGCATGCCAGCAGGGCACACAATGCTATTCCTTACCTCTTGCTCATAAGCAATCTTTGTGTCATTCTCTTAACTGGAATGTTTTGTCTTCTGTCTTCCTTTTCTCTTAAATTGCCTGATTTATGAGTAAGCTTTCATTTTAAAGCTTTCCTCCTTTACTCTTGAATAATCCATCAGTCTCAAATTGCTGACTGCATTTTGTTAATGCAGCCCATAAGCAGGGATAATAGGTGAATTACTCATAATGCCACTTACAGACGTCTTTCCCAACAACAGCAGTCTGAGTATTCAGGCAGGCCTCATAAAACTCTCAGTTAAGATCATACATGTGAGAAGAATCATGAGGCCCCAGAAGCTTAACAACCTCTTATTACTAAAATATACAGTGGATACCCCCATCAGTATATATGTTGAGACTGTTGGGCTTCAGAGTTTAGTGACTGATCTAGACAACAGATTTCCTGACATTTTGCCAGCAACTATGGCTGGCATCTTCAGAGACAAGATATACAGACCCACAGGAAACTAAGCAGGGAATGACTGGGCTCCTGTCTTTATAGCCAGGTGTCCTGACTTCTGATTGGTCTTTAACCGAGCTGGTTTTCAATTGGTCCAGGTTGATGAGGGCTATGCTGAGACCCTTTGGCAAGTTTTTTGCAAACATGCAGGTGGTAGATGGAATGTGGCTCCTTTAAGTGTTGGGGACAGGATTAATCCATGCATCCTAAACAACATTTTCAATAGGGAGGAATCAATTTATGTTCTCTCTATGAACAGGTACAGTGTAATAAGTAAGGTTGTAACATGTATTTGTGTTGCTCATCAGACATTCCTAAGGATATTAATGAAGGAGGAAAGTATGTTACTTTTGAGGAGATTTTATTTTCATCTGTGCATAGTTAAAGATTTCAAGTTGTATTGAAGTAATCTTTGTGGACATTGGCAGTATATTAAATAATACCAATCCTAGAGAGTTGGTGCTTGTAACTTTTCTGAGAAAGAACATTATTTCTTCATTCAAAATATATTTTAAAATGTTCCTGTTGTATGCACAGGAAATGAGACTGATAGTAGGAAAGAACATTTTGTGAAGTAGAAATACCGTGTACCATAACCCAGATTAAACATCAATGAAATACATTAAATAAAGTTTTATGTAATTTAACATTAAAGAAACAATTCATTGAATGTGAATAAAAAGGGACAAGGTTGGTTTTCCTTTTTTTTAAGAAACAAGGTTCTGTTGTTCATTACTGTGAAAATATGCTTAAAAGTATCTGGCAAAAATCTCAGAAGTCAAAAGGAGGGCCAAATGAAATTGCTCATACTGGGGGCTGGGGCTGCAGCACTTGTGTGTGTGTGAGAGAGAGAGCGAGAGAGAGAGATTTATATACCACTCTTCAATTGAATATGATACAAAAAACCCAATCATTAAAGGGAATCCAGTGGACATCAATCTCTCCAGTTAAAGCAATACAGGATAATAACTCTGGAAGCAGAGGGTCAGGAGTGGAGAGAACCTGCTTTGTTAAAGTTCAGAGCAGCTGATTGAGTGACTGAGTGATAGTTAAATGAATGGTTTGCATAATTTATTTACTTAGGTTAGACTACAAGTTCCTTTCCCACAAAGTTATAGATAAGGCCTTTTCTATGTAATTATAGTTGAGGGTCACAGCATGTCCTGGAACCCTAACCTTACATTTTTTCTTCTGCTTCCACTGATAGTATGTTCCTGGCTGCGTACTTATATATTCCCCCTGAGTTCTTGTCTAAAGCAGGGTTTCTCAAACTGTGTGGTGTACCTCTCTTGGGAAGGTGCAGAGTCCAGGGGAGGTACATTGTTACAACAAATCCACCTTTCCCAAAGTTTCATTGTATTGTATTCATTGTTCATTTGTGTTCATATTGGTGTTTGGATTTTAAGGGCAGGTATGTACATTAAGATTTCACTAAAGGATTCCCTCCTTTGTCCACTACTCTTGTATTCATGGTTACTGTCCTTACATACAGAGCCTCTACTTGCATTATATGTGTGAAACTGACTGCAACCTTGTAGGGGGTAATTCCGTCTGGGATACCTGGTATTGGTCCTTAGGAGTTTCTGAACAGAATTAAAGAGTTGGATCTGAGATTGGAAGAAACAATTGAGGGAAGGTAATAATTAAAGAGAAGAAAAATGGATATCGTTTGAAGAGAAAGTAGTAAAAAGGAACCATCTCCAGAGAAATGTGGATGAGACAGCTGCAGCCTGCCTTCTATTCTCCCACGGGCATTTTTTCAAACACAGCAGAGTGTGTTACTGAGCCATTCTGCATCACAGGATTGTACAGGTAATCCTCTCTTACTGGCCACAATTGGGACCGGAATTTAGGTTGCTAAGTGATGCGGTTGTTAAGCAAAATGTTGCGTGACTGCTTCGCTTAGCGACCGCAATCCCAGCATTCCCGGTTACTGCTGTTAAGCAAGAAACGCAGGTTGTTAGGCGAGGCAACTTCCTGCTGGCTTCCCACAATCAAGTCAATGAGGAAGCTGGCAAGAAGTTGCAAGCCCTAGGTGCTGGGGCGGGGGAGGGAGCAAGGGGGTGCATGGGGTGCAGTGCAGGTTGGGTGTGCGAGGGCCTCAGAACCACTTGGATTTTCA